TCCATTTCTCATGCTTAACTTCTTTTCTGAGTGATATCCATGGATCAAGCGATTAAATACACTAATCAGCGAATGCGGATGATTGGATGTTCACTCACCAATCTGTCCTGCGATNTGGTCACCTCGAGGTTTTGGATAGCCTTGATAGCCGACGTTGTCCTGAACACGTCAACTCTGGATCTGAAAATTATCCAAAACATTTTTGACCAGACACACTCACGTATTTCACTAGAACTCATCCGATTCTGATTAACATAACATAATCACTGAAAATGGAATGCTTTGTCCATTTCTCATGCTTAACTTCTTTTCTGAGTGATATCCATGGATCAAGCGATTAAATACACTAATCAGCGAATGCGGATGATTGGATGTTCACTCACCAATCTGTCCTGCGATAATAATTGAGTGACGTCTAATTTGTAGACGACGATAACAATTAATGAACCTCACACAACGCACCACCAAATAGATCGTATAAAAAACAAATATTGATATGAAGATCATTAGAAACGTCAAGAAGACCAATCTCAACGCCACCGATGGTTCGTCTGTTGTGGCTCGATGACGATTCTGAAACGAACCGTGAAATTAGTCACTGATTCTATGAAGTAACAGATCTGTTTACAAGCTCCGTGGATAAAACAATCATGGTTGCTGATTCGACAAACCAATCAGTGAAAGAATCGAGATAGATTTTTGGTATAGTTGAATGGTGCATTCTAGAGTAGTCATTTCCCTAATGGGAAACTTCTCAACGCTCTTCTCGTGAATTACGTTCATTTTCGTTTGCTTGCTCATACATCCGCTTAATTTTTTTTCAGGGCATTTGTACGAAATGCATTTGATCGAGGCTGAAAATATGGAATTGCTGATGAAGTTGGAACCGACTTCACGTTGCGATGCAGGCTTCCACTGACCATCTTCATTGACCAAATGTGTCGTGTGGATTGAAGTGGTTGCATTCGGTCTCACAACCGTCGATACACCGAAAGCTTGTACGAACGCCACAAATATTGCTCGTGCTGCCAAAGTTGGATACATTAGCGACGCCTTAAAAAGAAATTTGATCTTATGGATTTAGAAGATTCAGAATCTGAATATCACTGAAGATGATATTTATCTGTTCGAAGCTGATAAAAAGCTCTAATGATTGCTGGGTGAATCAGTTTCCACTTATTCGCTCATTTCATCCACTTCAAGTGACCACAACTGCATCCATATAGTTAATATTATTAGTTAACAAAAAAGATAAAAAAAGACAATTGTTTTATCAAGGAGGCGTTCGTAAGATTTTGGCAAATTCTCGAATTGCAAAAGCTACGCATCAAACACCAATACGATTTAGCATTTTCAACTGATGACGATTCGAAAGGTGATAAATTGAGTCAAAAGAAACGCACATTTCTATGTCGAATGCCGGCAATAAGCAAAGCCGATGTGACTGCATATAAAACACACATTGGCAACAGAAGCACCTCAAACCACGATAATTCTGACTGAAACTTTTGATAATATATTGTCTCACACGCACATTTTCTCACACTTCATCAGCACTGTTTTTCACTCGAGATAATCGCTCTCGTAGTGTGTCTTTGCGAAATGGCCATCAAACGCACGATGAAGAATTAAAACCTCGAAGATTTATGTTCACAATTTGGTGCAAAATGCGGCACGTTGTCTATTGCCGCCTGAACGTTGCTCAACGCCCAATTCAATTGAATTCTTCAAATCAACTCATCCAATCAATTTGCTAATAATAGTGATTCTATATGATTAAAAAGTGACTCTAAGTACAATCATACAAGTGCATAAAGTTAGAATAATTGAGCACAGCAATGCGCTCACATTAAATTTTTTATGATTGTTGAA